AAGTTAAAAAGACTTGATTGAGATTTTCAGGTCCATAGAGTTTGCTTAGTAGACAAAGACCAGTTAGTATGTCTTAGTTGGAGGAAATTAGCTTGTGTATGTTTACCAAGATATTTCAAACCTCTGCTTACAGTACCACTGCTTAAAGTTGACTGATGTGCAAACTGAACAACCTGCCTCTTTGTTGGCTCTGATCTTTTTCCTATGTAATTCCTTTTACTTCCTTCCACCTTTTCCTTCAGTTATACTTCTGGTCCATGGACAAATTCTGAACTTTCCCCTCTGAGCTTTACTCAGATTGTTCTTTGTCTTTTTCTTCTCTATATTATTACCACTTTACCCCGTCCATTTACAGAAGTGTTTTTTCTGTCAGTCTTCTTTCCCCAAACTTTTTCTATATTTTTGTTAGTATCATTTCAGAATCTACAGTGATCTAATTAGTTATGGAAATATCTCTTTCCCTTGGTAGGTTTTGAGACCCATCTTACTCGTTTTGCCGTTTAATTACTGTTAACAAATAATGGGCCCTTGATAAATTTTTGACTGTATGGATGCATATGTTCTGTAGGGTATGTCTACATTATTTAGCTGTGGTCTGGGGCCATAATCTTGTACCTGTTTTTATAGATGATGAACAGCTTTAGAGAAAAGGCAGAAAGACTTTTCTTCTACACCAGGCTTGCTGGAAGAAAAGCCTGCCATATTTGTCTGCTTTTCTCTAGAATGATTTGTCCTAGGCCTTTGCATGTCTTCTTTGCTTGAAGGAACACAGCAGTGATATTGGATCTTAGTGCCTTTTCTAACCTTAGATCATAGAGTAATTCTCTTATATTTTACAAGCTTTTACATTTTGCTCTTATATTTAGGTCTTAACCTACCTAGGATTCATTTTGTATATGTTATGAGGTTTGGGTGCAGTATCTTCTATTTCCCATAGAAATACAAAAGTGTTTCAGAATTTTTTATCCTGTCTGTTCTGCCCTGCCACTGTTTTCACATATAGTTGTGCACTGCATAAAGACAGTTTGATCAGTGTTCAATGACAGACTTCATATATAAAGATGATCTGCATATAATAACATATACCTTTTCTATGTTTATGTATATAGATACACAAAAATACTTGACACTGTATTACAAATGTCTACAGTATTCAGTATAGTACCTGCTATACACATTTATAGCCTAGGACCAATAGGCTATACCATATAACCTAGGCTGACCCATGAAGGTTTATGTAAATGCACTCTGTGATCTTCCCACATTGACAAAGTCCCCTAACAACACGTTTCTCAGAATATATCTCTGTCATTAAGTGATACATGACTATATAGAAACAGGTTTTTAGATGTTAATCTTGTGTCCTGCAACCTTGATGAACTGGTAGTTTTTTTTGTAGATTCCTTTGGGATCTTACATGTAGAAAGTTGGGTCATCTAGGAGTGGTGAGGGTTTCATGTTTTCTTTTCCACTATGTATGCCTTTTATTTTCTATTTCTTGTGTTACTATGTGCTGGGAATGGGCTTCCTTTTCTTCTTTCTGATTTTAGGGGGAAGTATTTAGTCTATCACCATTAAATACTGTGTTACCTGTGGGTGATCCATTTGTACCGACATCCCTAACTTACGGTGGTTCAACTAATGATTTCTGGACTTCATCACAGTGCATGTGATATATGCTTCTCAACTTACAATGGAAACACTTTTGACTTAATATTTTCAGGTTACAATGGGTTTTGGGGGATGTAACCCCATTTGTAAAAAGTTGAGGATCGTCTATCTATATATTGGTTTTTCTACTCTACATCTTTGCTAAACTTGGTGTTACTTATGTGTCTCATCTGTAAATTTTTTTGGAGATTCTGTAGACATAATCATAACATCTGTGAATAATGACTATTTTAATCCTTGTACTCTTTATTTTTCTTTGTTGATTAGCATCTCTGTTACAGTGTCACATAAAAGTAATGAAAGCAGGTATGTTTGAATAGTTTCTGATTGCAAACAAAACTCTTTGATTGGATGACCAGTAAGCATGATTTATATTGTAGGGTGCTTGTAACACTGTATTCTTCTCAGATAAAGGAAACTTTTCATCTAATTCTTAGTTTACTAAGGTTTTTTTTTTTAATTTTATCAAACATTTTTCATTTATTGAGATTTTTCATTTTTAATCCATTTAATATGTAATTTATGATTTTCTGTTAAAGTGCTGAATTCAATTTACATTCCTGGGATAGACAGTTTTTGTTTGTGGATATTGCTGCATTTGTTTTCCTAATACTTTGTTTTGGAGTTTTACATTTATGTTTAATGAGTAAGATTGATGTGTGATTTTTTTTTTCCCCTTTCCTCTAATTATTCTCATTAGATTTTGGTTTCATGTTTATGCTACTTAGTTGCATGAATTAGTTGGGAAGGATTCCCTTGTTTCTTATTCCTTGGACTTAGTTGTATGGCATTGCAATTATTTTTTTCCTTAACTATTTGATAGGAAAGCCTTCTAGACATGAATTTTTCCCTGTGAAAAGATTTATTATCAGTTTTGTTTCTGAATAGTTTTTTTCTTCTAGAGTTAGTTTAGGTAATTATATATTTTCTCAGTTTTATCTAAATTTTCAAATGTTAATCACATTTGTAAAACTGGCTTGTAATTTTTGAGTTTGACTTTTTTGATCCTATTCTTTGAACTACAATAGTCAGGAGTGCTTTTAAAATTTTAAATATATGGAGCTTTTCTGTTAAACTTTTTCTTAAAGTATAGCATACATTCAGAAAAGAGCAAAAATTAAGTCTTTTGCTCTTTGATTTTACAGAAAGTGAAAATAACTACCACCTCACATCCCCCCTCTTACCCCCTTTCAGTTAACATCTGCCACCAAAAGTATCACTGTCCTGACTTTTAACATGCTTGATTAGATATTTCTGTTTTCCAAATTCTGTGTAGTGTTTTTTATCTGACTTTTCACTTAGATCTGTAAGGCTAATCCATATTACTGTGTGAGGCAGTGGTCCACTCTCATAGCTGTATTTTTTTCCATTGCGTGAATATACTACTATTTACCTATCCATTCTCCTGTCAGTAGGCTTCTGCATTTTCTGTTTTGCCTACTTTGAATAGTATTGTTATAATTTTTTTTTTAATACATGTCTTATGGTGGACAAATGTTGTGTGTTTGTTTCTGTTGCATAATACCAAATAATGAGTCCTGGAATCTGTTTATCTTAAGTGCTTTCTTTGGTTTAGCATTTGCACAGTATATCTTGCCTTTTTTTTACTTTAAGCATCTCAAGTCCACATTGTTTTCCTTGTCTTTTAAGCTCTATATTAAAATTTTTAAAATCTTGTATGGTCATGTATGTTACATTCACATATTTTGTAGTATTTAGTATGTGCTAAACAATGTTCTAAGTACTTTGGGTGTACTTATTTCACTGTATTTTTTGAAATTATATTATTATGGTTATAAACTTTAGGTTTGCAATTACATTTTTTCTCCCCACATTGAGGTTATATTTTACTGTCTTTGGCTTATATTTTTGCTCTTGAGAAGTCACTTCCTGGTTTAAATGTTATTCCTTTCATGGTAATGTGTTTTCCTTTAAGATTTTGTTTGTTTTCCTAGAATCATTATTATTATTTTGAAATTAATCTTGTCTTCTTGATCTTGTAGCTTGGTATTTTATGATATTCTTGATAGTTATTAGGCCTCTGCCTCTTTCCTGTACTTCTGGTACTCCCATGAATCATAGGTCATAGTTAGACCTTTCTGCCTTTTTGTGTATTTCAATTTTATGTTTCTCTGTGCTGTATTGTAGATAATTTCTTTTGACCTTGCAGTTCACGAATTTTTTTTTCTTTTTTTGTCATCTTCTAAGTTTTAATTTCAGTTTTTGGTTTTTCATTTTTAGAAGTTTTCCTTTTTTCAAGTCTCCTACTTTACTCTTTATAACAATTTATTTCCTGCAGATATTTTCAGAATTATCTTTTATTTCTTTGAAGATAATAATTAGTTTTATAACCTGCTTGGTAGTTATTATATCTGAAGAATTATGGGCCTGTTCTTGGTGTCTAGTATTTCTGCTAGTTCTCTTTTCTACTTGTTTGCTTATTGGTTAGTTTTCACTTGATTGTCTCATTGTTCTAAAAACATCACGGTTGGAGTTCTTTGATGCTTAGGATGAAGGTGTGCTTCTTTAGGCAAGACTTTGATTTACTAATGTTGGGTGCTTGGAAGTACTATTAAGACTTCACTAAATTTATGTTTTGAAGTTCTCTGGACCACTTAGGTAATGTGAACAACAGTAAATGTGCTAGCCCATGGCCAAAGCACATCAGCTGTTTCTGCCCTGTTATTATTACCTTCCTCTGTTTAGTATTAATACCAAAGTAGCTTCTCTGCTATCCCCTACAGGGGGTGGAGAAAGGGGGCACATGTTGATTTCTGCCTTACCCTCTTTTTGCAGATGTATCTTTTTTTGGGGTACCATTCCATGTTAATGTTAGGAGAGTTTCTTATTTGTTCTGCCTTGACAGATTTACTTCTGTTTTCCTTGCCCTTGAGACCACCAACACTGAATCCTATAATATGTTTGTAAGAAATAACAAATACTCTGAGAGCCTAAGTGGCTGCAGAAGCCACTATTTACTTCTTTGGGTTCCTGTTTTTTCCTTAAATTTTGATTTGAGTAATTTATGATACTTGAAAAAAAATAGGCTTACATTAAGGTTTTCTTTTGTACCTTAGCATTTCTAGTTTTTATTTTTATTTATTTTTTAGTTGCACAGTTGAGAATGAAACTAAAAATAAGTTTTGTTTTTTAAATAATAATTTTGGAACATGTTTAGTGGTTTTTATTAACTAGATTTAGATTAAGTGGATTACTCTTGACTAGGAGGTCATTATCAATTGTTTGGGGGGCAGCTTATCTTTTGTGTTTATTACTAATGTTATTTATTCCTATGTTTTGATTTGCATCTAATAGTTTCCTTGTTTTAGGGATACAAGTATTTCTGTCATGGCTCATTCAAAGACAAGGACCAATGATGGAAAAATTACTTATCCTCCTGGTGTCAAGGAAATCTCAGATAAAATATCTAAAGAGGAGATGGTGCGACGGTTGAAGGTGAGTAAAATTAAGTATGTTCTTTTGGACATCTGCTTAAGAGGGAGTCCCCTGTAGAAAACATAGGGATGTATTTACTTTTTTCTTTTGTCGTTTTTGGCCAGGGCTGGGTTTGAACCCGTCACCTCTAGTATATGTGGCTGGGGTCCTACTCCTTTGAGCCACAGGCTCTGCCCAGGGGTGTATATTTTCTGATAACTTAAAAAAGCAAAGCAGCAAATGGCAGAGAATGTTTCTAAGGGAGTAGATTTAGAACAGTAGGGATTCCTTGGCTATTGCTAATGGGAAACTAATTAGAAAGGTGAAACTTAAATTTTCTAGGACTTTATACACTTGAATATAAAGAACAAGTCCATAATATTCTTATATTCCTTTTTGTTGGTACAAATCATCTCCTTTTTCCTATATCACATTTCATTTATTTTCTAGAAACAACCCTCTTATCCTGAGAAAGGAAATTTTAAGAGTGCACTGAGTACTCAGGCTATTACTTTCTTCTAAGTTATTTGAGAATAGATTTTAAAGAGCTTGACTGTTAACTTGCCTATTAGATGTATTTACCTGGATGTCAGGATGTCAGGGCTGTAAAGCTTCCCTAAATTAATCATTGAAGGTAAGGGAAGTTTAAAACAAAGTACTATTATATATTACTACATAATGTGTTTTTATAAGGAAAAAAGATGATGAAAGTAAAAATTTCATAGAAAGTCTTACTTTTACATAAAGTATTAGAATGTCAGGTATCAGATGTTTATCATTCAGAGGGAAAGACATCTTGGACTAGATTAAATTTACTAATAGGTGGATAATTTATCTAGTTGTGAACTTATGTATGTATGTATATTTTATTAAAAACATACACTTCTGTATATGATGTTTCATTTTCTGTGTGTTTACCTTCTCCTGGCCTATGGAATTTTTAGAGAGCTATTATATTTATTACCTCTGATTTGTTTATATATTCTAAGAGTATTAGGTGAACCTCTTGATTGTTTGCTAAGAAACTAATTTTGACCTCAGAGTCTACGCTTAAGCGCTAATTAGCATTTAGTGTCTTTTAGAGATGTTATTTTTTCAGAGATCCTTTTTAATTTGCAGGACTCATAAGTTATTAATGAGTTCTATAATAGCATTTGAGTTTTATCAAATTTTTTATTTTTTTTATCTATACTTCGAGCAAACTTTGTGTTTAATTTTGGTGGAATGCTTTTCATAGTACTCATATACAGTATTTGTAGTATGCTTTCGTTATTTTGTATACATTTATACCTGGCAGTAATCTAGTTATACTTTGCCTCACCTATTTTCCTAATTTACACTTCCAACTGTTTTTCATGTCTTCCTCTTCAGAGAAATATAAAAAGGATTTCATGTGGGACAATAATAATTTTTTATTTCTTTTTTTACTTAATTACTTAATGTCTCATTCTTTTGCGAAGAAATCTGGAGAAATAGTTCTGTGTGCTTAGTTCTTTTTTTTCTCTTTGGGCCTATTCATAAATATATATGCAGTCAAAGCATATATCTGAAAAGTAATAAATTTAAAAAGTTAGAATAGCCCTGAACATCGTATCCTTAGACTTACTATAGTGCTTAATTGGAAGTAGTCTACTGTTGGTTCTGGTATCTAGTATAATAGAAGTAAGGGGTTGCTTTGTGAGAAACATTTTTCCACTACTGCTCTGAGAATTTAATATGAAATCGAACCACTTGTTACTTAGAAGTCTAGCTCTACAGCAAGTGGAAGTCCTTGCTGCATAAAGAACCAAAGCATAGACTTTGATACTTGGTGGGCAGCTCTACTTGTTGCTTAGTATTTGCAGCACCACCTAGTGGATGCTGAGTGGTCACATTTCCATTGGAGTTGTATTTCAATGTCAATTCCTGTCAAGATAAACAATTTTAAGTTTCATTTGAAGTAGAATAGTACAAACTGAAGTCATCATTGTAACTACTGAAATTGAAATTAAGGAAAACGCTTCACAGAATTCATTCTGTATTACTGGTCACCATTCTATTTTCTACCCTTCCTTTTTACGTAAATAACTATTTTTGAAAGAGGAACCATTTTCTCTACCTTCCTTCTGCTCATCATAAATGTGCTGTTGTGTCAGTGACCTATCCTTATATTCTCTTTTCCTGTGGTGCAAGAAATATTTTGGTGGATTTTATGGTGGTCACATCATGGTAGCTTTTCAAAGTGTTGAGGGATATGTCTTTGACTTCCTTTCTTGAATCTGTTTATATTTTTTAACTGAATATATAAAACTATGTGATTGGAGTGATTTAATGTCTCAGATGGAACACTGAATTGTCATCCATCCAAGAATTTTCTTTAGGTATATACTTTTTCTCCTAGTGATTAGTCTGGTTGTACAAGCGAAACTAGAAGTTTCAACAGATATCCTATTGGATTTCTTCCAGAAATGACTACAGCATCAAACTAATTTTAAAGCTTTGTTAGCAGATGTGTTGGGTAAATGAAAAATATTTTACTTAGTCTTTTAAAGAAAAGTTTACCTCTACGTGTAGAGGGATCTTGTTCTCTTACGTAGATACTTCTTGCAGAAAAATAGAATCTCTGTAAGTTGACTCCCCAAGAGACTGGAACAAACTAGTCAACATATAGAGGTGGTCATCATAAGGAACCAGGTTTCCTGTTCTGATATGTACACGTGAAGTATGTCTGGTCTATAAAAATTAGGTCAATTTAAGGAGATGGTCAGTGTAGGGAGGTGGTCCACTATTGAGGTGTTCTATTGTGTTATTTATTTGAAGTTGACTTTTGCAGTTAATATGGCATTATATCAAATCACTGTATTTTTACATGGAACATTTCATTGATTATTTTGTTTTTGTATAGATGGTTGTGAAAACTTTCATGGATATGGACCAGGACTCTGAAGAAGAAAAGGAGCTTTATCTAAACCTAGCTTTACATCTTGCTTCAGATTTTTTCCTCAAGCATCCTGATAAAGATGTTCGCTTACTAGTAGCCTGCTGCCTTGCTGATATTTTCAGGATTTATGCTCCTGAAGCTCCTTACACATCCCCTGATAAACTAAAGGCAAGTACTAAATTAAAGAACTCCATGATTGACTATACTTAGTTTTATCATTCTAAAATGAGAGTTAAAAGTATTTAGATAATTTCTTTGGATTTGTTTTGTTTGTTTCTTTTTTGAGACAGTGTCTTTCTCTGTTGCCCAGGCTAGAGTGTAGTTGTATCATCATAGCTTACTGCAACCTCAAACTCTTGGGTTCAAGTAATAGCCTCAGCCTCCAGAGTGGTTGGGACTACAAGGTGTATGGATCACACTTGACTAATTTTTTTTTAATATTTTGTAGAGATAGGGTCTCTCCATGTTGCTCAGGCTGATCTTGAACTCTGGCCTCAAGTGATCCTCTTGCCTCAACTTCTCAAAGTGCTTGCATAACTGGTGTGAGACACCACACCTGGCTGGATTCTTTGATGTTAGCTGCAGTAATCATTTGTTAAACTTCTGTTTTCTTTTAGAGCTTATTTTTGAAAAACTACTCTTCTTTTTTATTGAGCCCTACTTTTTTCTGTATAACTTTAGAGGCAATTCCTTTTCTTTTTTGAAGATCTATTTTGAAGACCATGGTCATTATTTACTTAAAAGACAGTATCTAATATAAATCTGAATTTGTAAGAGATACTGCTGTTACATTTAATTGGAAGCTGTGGTGTGAATTGTTTTGAAGAAAATACAGTGAAAAGAATTTTAACATTAAGGTAGAAAAGACTTAGAGTAGTTAGTTATGGCAGTTGTAAGTAAAACCACTTGAATGCAAAAATCTTTAAAAGATAAGAAGGGGAATAACATGATTAATCTATTTAGAAAAATGTTAGTAGAAAGCATGAAGTCCTTAGCGCTGTGTGGGAAGATATCAAATGATTGTAAGGCAGGTCAATTGGAATTAAAACAACAATAATAAAAAACAGTTGTGGAAATTGGGGATTTGAGAATGAGTCCATGGGAAGATTATTAATGCACAGTATGAAAGAATGGCAGACAATTTATGTTTATTTCACTTAACAAATCTTGCTGTTACTTACGTGTCAGGAACTGGTGTCAAGGTAGTGGCAAGCCCCCCCCCCCAAAAAAAAAACCCCAAAAACCCTAGACGTAGTTCCTGGACTATGGAGTTGCTTCTTGATTAAGGTGACCAGACGTCCTGCTTTTGGCGGGACAGTTCCGATTCTTAAAAATTTGTCCCGCATCCCACTGCATTTTTAAAAAGTCCTGATTTTTGGAAAGAATGCACGACAAGCTAGGGAAGGGCGGGAGAATGGGAAGGGAATATAAGGTTTTTGACTGCTATAAAGGTTAATGTAACTCCATTTGGGAATGAAGAGGTTAATGTAACTTCATTTGGAAATGAAAAGGCTAATGTAAACTCCTTACTCCCCTCCTGGACGAGGTTGAGGTCGCCCAGGTGGAATTGGTATCAGAAGGATACTGGCTCCCTCCCTCACGTCTATGCAAGGACAATTAGCTCCGAAGGAGCCAAACTGTCTGGAACAAACAAGTAGCCCCCTCCTCCTCTAGAGGGTCCCTAACCATAAACAGCTCAACCAACAGCCCCCCCCCCCATCAATGTTGTCCCACTTTACCAGTGTTAAAATCTGGTCACGTTATTCTTGATAATTGGCGTGAGGAACCTGCTCATTTGATCAAGTCTGCCAAAATTCAAATATGGGATACCCAAACTGGTTTGGGCCTGCTTGTTTTATATTTTGATTGGTAAAAGAGTCCTAGGATGAAGGAAGTAGAGGGTCAATATTTATCATTTAAAGTGGAATTGAATTAGGGGTCTTGCCTGTGGCTCAAAGGAGTAGGGCACTGGCCCCATATGCCAGAGGTGGTGGATTCAAACCTAGCCCTGGCCAAAAACAAACAAAAAAAACCCCTCTAAAAAGTGGAATTGAATTATAAAATTTGAGAATAAACAGAGACATTGTAGATAATGTAAGTTGGTCCATGTATTTGTGAATCCTGCTATAAGGCATGATTTCTAGTTGTAAGCCTTTAATTTGGGGATGCTTAATTGCTTTAAGGAATGATTCTGTTTCTTTGACTCTTAAGTTCTGGGCCTTCCTCACTAGATGTCCTTTTGGCATTCTTGCTAAGAGAAAGTCTAACTTAGGTCTGCTACTACACAATTTGTTTACTTCTCGTGGAATTCCTTAGTTTGTATAATCAGTGAACTGTGTTAGGACGTTGGGATAAAGAAAAATTCTCCTAAAGGAATAACTACAAATCTGTGCTATTTATAACAGGGCAATTTATGAGAAGACTATCAAGCAACTGAGATTAAGATCTTTGCAGATTATTCCCTACCTAAAAAATTCAAAGTACTTTATATTATGATAATTTTTTTTTGTCTTATTCTAAATGGCTCTTTTTCTTTTAGGAGGATAATACTTGAAAATTACTGATGGCTGCTTTCTAAATATTTGTGGGATAATTTTTACTATTTTGACTAGCATCAAGTTCATTTTTTAGAATTTGTGGTAGTGTTATGCATATTAGAAAATTGTGAGACCTTGACCTCACTTTTTCCCTGGCAGTTTGTTATCCTCAGCTCATACCCTTTTTATACACCTAGAAAAAAAAAAGTGGAATCAGAACGTTCCTAAAAAAAAAAAAGATAAATGCTGGAGGTGACAGATACTTCAATTTACCCCAGTCTGATTAATACCCATGATGTATGCTTGTATCAAAACGTCACATGTACCCTATAGATATATATAACTATTATGCACCACAGTTAAAAATTTTAAAATGTTTAAATGGCGTCATGTTTAGATCAGTTATCATTGGTGAAGTTATAAATGACTGTTGTCTTTCCATCTGCAGATAGAGTCAGTGGCATGTCTTCTCTTTTAGACAACCAGGAAGGATTCATTCATGGAGAACATATTTAACACAGTAGTACTCTCAAAGTAACCTTTTAAAAAAATTGACCAGTTTTTAAAGGGTGTACTTTTGAAAACATTTAGAAATTTTTAATTATAGTGCATAATAGTTATATACATTTATAGGGTACATGTGATGTTTTGATACAAGCATACATGGGTATTAATCAGACTGGGGTAAATTGAAGTATCTGTCATCTCAAGCGTTTATCTTTTCTTATAGGAACATTCTAATTCCACTTTTTTTTTTTGGCAGTTTTTGGCCGGGGCTGAGTTTGAACCTGCCACCTCTGGCATATGGGGCCAGCACCCTACTCCTTTGAGCCGTAGGCACTGCCCCTCTAATCCCACTTTTTTAGTTATATTTTAAAATACACTATAACTTATTGTCGACTAGAGTCTCTTTTTGTGCTATTAGATATTGTTCATTCTGTTTATCTTAACTGCATTTTTGCACCCGCTTTATCCCATGTCTCCTCTACCCTTTCCAGTGTCTGGTAACCATCATTCTATTCTGTCTCCCTGAGATAAATTGTTTTACTCTTTCGCTTGCACAGGTGAATGAGAATATGTGAGATTTGTCTTTCTGTGCTTATTTCATTTAACATAATATTCTCCAATTTCACCCATGTTGTTGCACATGACAAGATTTCATTCATTTTTTATGGTTGAATAATATTTTATTGTACCACATTTCTTTCATTCAGTCATCTGTTGATGGACGCTTAGTGCCATCCATCGCTGGCTATTGTGAATAGTGCTGCAGTAGCATGTGAGTGCAGATAACTCTTTGGCATACTGATTTCTTCTATTTTGGTTTAATATTTAGCAGTGGGATTGTTGGGTCATGTAGTGGTTCTGCTTTTATTTTTTTGCGGAACCTCCATACTGTTATCCATAGTAGTTGCACTAATTTACATTTCCACCAATAGTGGATGATGGTTCCCTTTCTGCGCATTCTTTCAAGCATTCATTATTGCCTATCTTTTGGATAAAAGCCATACTGGGTGAGATTATTACCTCTTTGTAGTTTTGATTTGAATTTCTCTGATGACTAATGATGTTGAACATGGTTTCATTTACTTATTGGCCATTTTTTTATGCATCGTCTTTTGAAAGATGTCTATTGAGATTTTTGCCCATTTTTAGAGTCTGATTATTTGATTTTTCCTATTGAGTTGTTCGATCTCCATACATACTCTAGTTGTTAATCCCTTGGTAGACAGGTAGATTGCCCCAGTCAGTTGTCTCTTCATTTTGTTGATTGTTTTATTTGCTGTGCGTAATCTGTTTTGCTTGATGTGGTCCCATTTGTCCAATTTTGCTTTAGTTGCCTGTGCTTCTGTGGTATTTATTCAAGAAATAATTGCTCAGTCCAAGGTCTGAAAGCGTTTTCCTGATGTTTTCCCTTAGTAGTTTCCCTAAGTCTTAGTGAAACTTAAGTCTTAGTAGTTTTAAGTCTTTAATCCATTTGGATTTGATTTCTGAATATGTTGAGAGACTGGGGTCTAGTGTGATTCATCTGCATATGGATATCCAGTTTTCCTAGCTCCATTTATTAAAGAGTCCTTTCCCCAGTGTATGTTCTTGGCACTATTACTGAAAATGAGTTTACACATGACTGTAATCCTAGCATTCTGGGAGGCTGAGGCAGGTGAATTGCCTGAGTTTCAAGAGTTCGAGACCAGCTTGAGCAAGAGTGAGACCCCATCTCTAAAAACAACAAAAAATAGCTATGCTTTGTGGTAGGTGCCTGTAGTCTGAGCTACTCTGGAGGCTAAGGCAAGAGGATAGCTTGAGCCCAAGAGTTTGAGGTTGCTATGAGCTATGATGCCACCAGCGCTCAACCCCAGGGTGATGGAGTGAGACTCTGTCTCACAGAAAAAAAAAGAAAATGAGTTTACTGTAGATGTATGGATGTGTTTGTGCATTCTCTTATCTGTTCTGTTCCATTGGTCCCTGTGTTTGTTTTTATGCCAGTACCATACTTTTTGGTTGCTATAGAACTGTAGTATAATTTGAAGTCAAGTAATGTGATTCCTCCAGTTTTGTTCTCCTTGTTTAGGATTCTTTGGCTATTTTGGGTGTTTTAACAATATTGATTTTTTCTATCCATGAGCAAGCATGTAATAGCTTTCCATTTTTTTCATTGATGTTTTATAGTTTTTATTATATCTTTCCCTTGTTTGATTAAATTTATTCCTAAATATTTTATTAATATTTGGAGTATGAGATTACTTTTTCAGATTGCTCACTGTTGGCATATAAAAGTGCTGCTGATTTTTGTATGTTGATTTTATATCCTGCAACTATTGTATTTATCAGTTCTAATAGTTTTTGTACAGGCGTTAGGTCTTTTTTTTTTTGAGACAGAGTCTCAAGTTGTTGCCCTGGATAGAGTGCAGTGGCATCATAGCTCACAGCAACCTCCAACTCTTGGACTTAAGTCATCTTCCTGCCTCAGTTTTTCTATTTTTAGTAGACAAGGTCTTGCTTTTTTGTTCAGACTGGTCTTGAACCCATGAGCTCAAGCTATCCACCTGCTTCAGCCTCCCAGAGTCTAGGATTACAGACATGAGCCACTGCACCCAGCCTGCTTTAGGCTATTCTAAATAAAAGATCATATGGTACGCAAAAAAAAAAAAAAATAATTTGACTTTTTCCTTTCCAGTTTGGATGTCCTTTTTCTTTCTCTTGTCTTATTGCTCTAGCTATAACTTCTAATATCATCTCATATTGAATAACAGGGGTAAAAGTGGACATCTTTTTCTGGATCTCAGAGGAAAGGCTTTTAAGTTTTTTCCCATTCAGTAAAGTACTAGCTGTGGGTCTGTCATGTTGCTTTTTATTATGGTGATGTATGTTCCTTCAATTTATACCTACTTTTTTGAGAGTTTTTATTATGAAAGAGTGTTGAATTTTATCAAATATTCTTTCAGCATTAACTGAAATGATGATATGGTTTTTGCCCTTCATTCTGTTGAAGGGTGGATTGATATGCTTATATTGAACCATCTTTGTATCTCTGAGATGAATCCCACTTGATCGTGATGGATAATCTTTTTAAGGTGGTGTTGAATTTGGTTTGCTAATATTTTTTGGAGGATTTTTGCATCTGTGTTTATCAGAGGTATTGGCCTAAAGTTTTGTTTTTTGAAGGGAATACTTTTTTGATGGAGCTTTTCTTAAGAAGCTACTCAGTTATTTACATACTAAATTTTCTTTTTAAACTAAGGTTGCTATTTTACTAAAAGGGAAACATATTTCCTTTTATTGGTAACATGCTTCCTTTGCAGAATTAATTTTTCTAATTTTAAGCCTTTTCCCAGCTGTTCAAAAATATCTACATTTCTCTTGAAGCTCATTTTCATAAAAAGTTGACTTGGAGTGACACTGAGCCTGTCTTTATCCAGATACAAAGGGGGATGTAGTCATAAATCAAAAGCAAGAGATGGGAATAGATTTGGGAAATGGTGGGGGAAAAGCAAGCAATTACGGTGTTTAGATAGGAATCTTGACAGGTTCATTTCTGATGGTATTTAAAAGATTTCTAAGCTTCTGTATGGGATATACTGTCTTTATCACTTAGTGGTGTTTTGCTTTGCTTTTTAAGTTTTAAAATTCCTAAACTGTCCTCTTGCTATGTAATTATCACATATTATGCTATTCTGGCATAATATGTATCTCTGAGACATTGCAACATTTTTTATTTTAAAATTAGTATAAATTTTAGTTGAAGGTGAAGGTTTTTTTTTTTTTTTAATGTATTTTAAGATCATGGTAAGTATCTTTTGTATTAACCTGGATAGAGTTGGAGAACATTCTGTTTAGCAAAGTACCACAAGTTTGGAAAACCAAGTATCTAGTGTACTCAATACTAATATGAAGCCAGTAGATGAACTAATATACACCCACACAAGAGATAAACTCAATTTAATTCAAGTTGGGAGGAGCAAGAGGAGAGGGGATTGGTGTGCTGTCACCTGAAGAGTACAGTGTAAGGGTACATGGCACACATACTTCCTGCTTGAGGGGCATGAAGACACAAGGACCTTACCTAACAAATGCAAACATTGTAACCTAATTGTTTGTACACTTACATTAATCTGAAATTAAAAAAAGATCATGGCAAGTGATTTATTATTTTCCTATGAAGGATAGTGATATATTTAGTGTTCATTTAAAGATGTACTTTAAAAAAATTCTAGCAAAATATGGTTTTTTTCTTATAGTCTTTACGATTTATTATGACATACATATACAAGTGCTGAATTAGCTTTAGGAGTTAGTGGATATTTTCACTTAGCATTTATAATCTAAACACTTACTTTCTCATTTTTTTAAAGGATATATTTATGTTTATAACAAGGCAGTTGAAGGGGCTGGAAGACACAAAGAGCCCACAATTCAATAGGTATTTTTATTTACTTGAGGTAAGTATTATATTTTGAGGTGATTATTTTAGACTTGTTTTTTGTGCATGTAATTTTTACCAAAGTGTTTACCTTTTAACCTCTTACTTTTAGAACATTGCTTGGGTCAAGTCATATAACATATGCTTCGAGTTAGAAGATAGCAATGAAATTTTTACCCAACTATACAGAACTTTATTCTCAGTCATAAAGTAAGTTTATTTTACTAAGTATGTAATATGTTAAAAAATATAAAAGTACAGAATTTTTAACTTAATAGGTAAATCTGCATAATTTGGTATCTTGATATTAGAAGGCTAAGAGTTATAACTAAGTTTATTCTTACAGATATTTTTAAAATGAATGGTACTTAATTAATTTTGTAAAACAAGGAATAGTATACTGGTTAGAGAAATGGGATGAGAACAGTATAAAAATTCTTTTGGATTACATTATTTATGTAATTACGTATAAACTCCTTAATGCATGTAGCTATTTGAGCTTTTTGTGTATTCTTTAAAATTATTTACTAGAATTAACTTCAGAGGAGTTTGACTTTCTGAATTGAAGGCTTTTGATCATTTTTGATTGTGAAACTGGCTAAATTAGGGAAAAGTAATATAAGAAATGCAGTTTAAAATACACTTTGGATACTATTGTAAGATTTGGGAGAGAGGGAAGCTTTAAATGAATATATAGATTTTTATTTAATGTTTTAGTATCATTTTATAAAGTGTAAAGTTTGGCAGTATAACTTACGAATAAATTCTGTACATCTCAGTTAATACTTTGAATAAAATGCCTATTTTGAATTTCAGCAATGGCCACAATCAGAAAGTTCATATGCACATGGTAGACCTCATGAGCTCTATTATTTGTGAAGGTGATACAGTATCTCAGGAGCTTCTGGATACAGTTTTAGTCAATCTGGTACCTGCTCATAAGGTAAGTAGCATTGTTTATATGTATGTGTGTGTGTATATACATGCTTTAACACTAAAATGTGTCTAAAGCCCTTTAATAATAAGGTTCGACATAGATTCTAATTTTTTTTTTTTTGTGGTTTTTGCCCGGGGCTGGGTTTAGACCCATCACCTCTGGCATATGGGGCCAGTGCCCTACTCCTTGGAGCCATAGGCACCGCCCCTCAACATAGATTCTAAATAACAATTTATCCTGCTACAACTTTAGTTTTGGAGAATCTGTTGATTCTATAATAGTAATGTATTTATTATATTTAGTGTATATTAAAACATGATATGCTAATTAGTAACAATGAAGAGAATAATAGATTTAGTCATGTAATAAAATACCTATTGTAATTCACTTTTATATAGATTGTATTACAGGGAGTGAGTTAAACAGCTACTTAGATGCTATTATATAACTTCATATGTTGGGAGGTGGAACCACTTAGGGTCTGAACTATAAGACAGTGGAAATATAAATAGAGAGGAGAGGTGAAATTAGAGAGGAAGTCTCTATCATCTGGGAGACAAGGAGTTTCATGATGACAGTGTTTCTTGCCTACGTGATGTTACTCAAGATGTGTTTATTTTTCTTGTGTATGTGCGTGTGTGTTTGTGTTTTGATTTATATTTTTGTTTCTTTTTTTGAAAGTGACAGACTCTAGTTGGGAACATGGTTCTGTGACTTTGAAGGGATCTGGGTTAAGGAGAGGAGCACAGGAATCACCAGTTTAATGACCTTTGCAATTTTAAGACTTCTCTGAGAAGACACAATTCAGTCTGTAGCTACACAGCATCGCCATAATGTTACAATAAAAGTGATTTCATAATTCAAAATTTCTAAACCTAAGGAATAGTTTGTCAATGCTGAAAGTAGGCAGATATTATAAATAGCAAGATTAGTTTACAAAGATGCAGAATAATACGTATATTAGATAAAAATCATATGTACTAGTGTGCTGTGGTTTCCAAGTCAGCTACCATCTTGCTACTCTACTTACCCCTCACATCCTTCTTGCTGTGCCTCCGGGATGTAGTCCACTATGTCCTGACCCCAGCCCAATCTCAGTCTGTCTGTGGTGACTATAGGAGAGAAGGTGGGAGACCTCCTCCTTTGTCTTTGTGCTCACATCTAGTTAGGGGCCCTTATTATCCTTTTTTATTAAATGAACTATGAAAACCAGCCTGGAACCCAGCTACTGTTGCTTGCCTAGGGCAGATGAGCAGGGCTACCTGGCTTGTGCCACAGCTCTTCTCTCAGTGTGCTTGGGGGTGGGGGTCATGAATCCAACTACAGAATGCCCTAGAAAGAAGGCTGGGTTTTTAGGAGAAAACCCACTAGGCCTCTCAAAGAGGCTTGCACCTGACAGAGTACCCAGCCCTTTAGAGTCTACATCTACCTGTCAGCTGTGCAAAACAATCCTTCTGGACACAGATCCAGTATTGAGCTTGGCTTTCTACACCTAGCAGCTGACTACCAGGAGGCATTCAGGGCTCCCATATATCCATTGTCATGAAAAAGACTTTGTCCAGGGCACCTCATAAATGCATATTTTCTTTTTGCATTAGGGACAGGGTCTGTAGGTCCATCCAGAGCCTAGAATCCAATACCTACCTAACACACTGGAATCCAGGAACTGGAATCTTTCACCAGCTACTTAGAATTCAATCCTCTGCTTAGTCTGTTTATCTTAGACTGGAAATTCCCCAAGGCAGTTTTCTGTTTTGCAGCCCTTTACATAATTTTAGTTTTGTGTAGTTTAGTGAATGTTTATGTTAAAAAAAAAAAATTACCCACTTCAGTGCCTGTAGCTCAAGCAGCTAAGGCACCAGCCACATACATCAGAGCTGGTGGGTTTGAATCCAGCCTGAGCCTGCCAAACAACAGTGACAACTATAACCAAAAAATAGCTGAGCATTCTGGCAGGTGTCTGTGGTCCCAGCTGATTGGGAGGCAGAAGCAAGAGAATCACTTAAGCCTAGGATTTGGAGATTGCTGTGAGCTGTGACGTGACGACACTTTACTTAGGGTGACAGCTTGAGGCTCTGTCT